CCCCAGGTGTGGATTTGTCCTTTTGGTTCCGTTTTATCCCAAGTTCGTATTAAGAATGCTTCGTTCTTGATTCGATTCTTCGATTGAGTCGTTTGCTGCATTACTTTGATAACATACACCCCCCAGGGGCGTATCAGAATGCATGTATAATATTATACATGTATTGTCGAATTTGATGCATTGTAGAATACAACGTTTGGTATGTGTGATTGGTATGTCGCATCAGCTAAGAGTTGAGACAAAACAATCTCAACTCAACTATCTCAACAATCACAACTAAAAGTTGAGATATAACAATCACTCAAAATGAGTGATAGTTTCTGTCACATCACAGAAACAATCCATGTATTGTTTCTGCTAAAAAAACAAAAAAACGATGCATTGTAAACAATACATGCATAATGACAATCTCAACAAAACTATCACAACTTCCAAACGACCCCTAAGTATTCAAAATGTTATATTACTTTTTGTGAGATAGATCACTTTTGCGCTTGCTTTTATGGGAACAGATATATATAACTATGGGTATACTTGGAAGAAAAAATGAACCCAACAATCTCCTCAAAACTATCTTAACAATCTCAAGTTTTAGTAGAGATAGTACTATCACTCATTTTGAGTGATAGTTTCCATCACATCAAGCAAACAATGCATGTATTGTTTGTGCAGAAAATTCAAAAAAACAATGCATTGTAAACAATACATGCATTGTAACTATCTCAACCAAACAATCACCAAAATCAAACGGCCCCTTAACCGCATGTATATTACAATGCATGCATTGATTTAATTATCACCAAAACCAAACGACCCTTCGTGATTGTTTGATCTCTACTAAAACTTGAGATTGTTGAGATAGTTTTGAGAAGATTGTTGGGTTCCTTTTTTGTTCCAATTATACTCCTATTTATATCTCTATATTCTAATCTATATCTATATCTATACTATGGCAATTCAAAAGCAATCTATTGCGACATAAGCACTTGGAGGATCCACAATTTGTCAAGTTGGACAACTTTTTTACAAACAAAAAAATGAGTTATTAATGTATTTATGGAGCTACCTCTCTCTTCTTTAATATTTCCATTTCTTTTATCCTTTTTTTGCTTTAATAATAAGTTAGATGTTGATAAACTTAACCAAACACACATAAATAATTTTTTTGTCCAGAAAAAAATATAAATAAGAAAAACGAAAGTAACATATACCACATTTGTTTGAATAAAAAATATCTGATTAAATTTTATGAAGTAAATTTTTTACTAAAATTGAATGATAAGTTACATTTAGATGAAAAAATTATAAAAACATACACATAAACAATAATGTTTTTTTCTATTAAACCAAATTTATCTGAAAAGAGAGAAAATAAACTTTTGACATTCAATTACCTATGAAAAATAAAGTATATTACAGTATATTTTGTTGCAATGAAACACTCTTTTATTCGTAATTTATATGTGTATAAAATAAAATAAAATTATTTAGAAAAATGCCAGAGTATAATCTTGATCGAGTAGTTATATTTATTTATTTAAAAAAGACTTCTTATTCCTCAGATCATGTTCTACCTTAAACTCCTCAAATGAAGAGAAATCGCATGTGCAATAATTTTATAATGTGTCCTAAGTTCACATTAATAATATCTGTTCTATATCATGTTGATTGAGCAAACTCTATTGAGGTCCTAAGTCGTATGCTAAGAAATTTTCTTTCAGACTTGGAGTTATCGTCAACGATTATAAATCATAATTTTCAAAATGACTTAAGTATAATTGTTGACGAACTTTGACTTCATGCCCTAGGATGAGACACAAACAATGTAGTTAAACTATAGTTTTTATGTATAAGCGAAATGATGGGAACAAACTTAATCGTAAAAGCGGAGCGTAAGAACGTAAGTTTATATGAACCATTGAAATTGTAAAAAAGCAACTTAAAAGACTAATAGAATCCACACACAGAAAATTGGAAAAGATTTTGAACTGGAGTACATTCTAACTCAGAACAAGTTCATAAACATAGAAAAAGAATTCAATCATACGCTAATATGAATCATAACTTTGAAATATTCATATTATGGACATCACAGCCCCCCCCCCCCCCCCACCCCAAAAAAATTTGATCATGATTTATTCTACATTTGGGCAGCAACGTCCACATTTCCATCCAAATCACATCATCTTAATTACCGCCATCATCATAGTTGTTATTGTCACTAACATCATGCTCCTCATAAATACATCAATCATCATCCATGTTAAAAAAATCATTTTGAAGCCAGCGGCATGATCACTTTAGTTTTTTCATCCACAAAAAACCATTTGACCATCCCACGACGTGCCAAATCGCTCCATAAACATTATCGTTAAAAGCTCTTAGCGTCCTAAAAGCTAGCTTTTAAGGATTTTTATGCTCATATTGTGGTTTTAGAGAGTTTATATTAAGCTTATGATGTCAAAACATTTTTCAAAGAAAATTACTATATTGGAGGAGGTAAGAACTTAAAAGCGTAAGCTTTTAGGCTTAAACTATAGCCTTTAACTACATTGGACACAAGATTTCTTGAAAAATAACATAAAGGAAGGTTAGAGAATCTTTGTTGAGAATCTACGATAAACATCATGTTTCATCAACTACTAACCTAGACATTTACCAAATAAAAGTTGGCAATTTTTAGTAAGATAGTCAATTGGGATAAACATATTTATCCAGCAATCAAGTATCTTTATCCAATAATCTCAACTCTCAAAATTGGTTGCCAGTTCGTCTAAACTCGAGAAACACGAATTGATATATGTTGTATAGATAATAAGTTAATGCAAATAATCAAATAAAATTTACCGATATTGTTCAAATGATAAGACATTTTAAATGCACTTGAAATATGTGTGTATTGTAGACACTCTTTATCAAATATTAATATATAAGCGATAAAATCTTTGAAAATTACACATTCAACGACCATGTTAAGACCAAAATCCTCGATAGTGTGTGCGAATGTCTTAGATTGAGATTCTAAGCCACCATATAAACAATGACCACGGGTTGAAGTTTCATCTAAACTTCAAAAATTAACAATTGATACATATTGTATAATATACTAAATTTAAGTGTCTTGATAAAAAAAACTAACATCCAAAATGGAAATGAGCCAAGATTATAGAATTTAATTATCATGAAGACTACGGTGTGTGTCAAGTTTCAATATGGATGAATAAATTGATCCAATAATGAAGTATCTTTACTAAGAATTTCTCACTAAAAAGTCCTAATCTTTACAACATTGGTCGAGAGTTCGTCCAAACTTGAGGATCATGAATGTGTATTGGATTTTCAAATGACCTAAAATCCCAATCACTTTCGGGGGCTAAATACCTCTGATCACAACCATAGGTGCCAAAGAAGAATGAAAAGAAGCCCAAAAAAATAAAAAAGAACATAACCTCCGAGGCCGTGTACCAAAAGTTGCCATCCAGTATAATGTACCAACGCCTGAATTTGACGGACGCGATACAATGAATAGAATAAAACCATATCGAGCTATGATCCTGTCATCCCTACCTTTATTCTCCATAAATGGGGCGGCGGGAGAGGATAAGAAATAAATAGCAGGATCTTAGGATTTGCCTCTTTATATATTACATATCACACGATAGACAACCCCAATGGTTGTCTGACGTTATGGGGGTAAAAATGGGATCTCTATCCCGAGGGTGAGGGATAGGCAAGTAGCACTTTTAATATGAGTATTAGGCGAGATAAGATAGGTCTGGCAAAGTATCTGGATAATTTTGAGTCTACTATATATATATACACACACACACACACACACATATACATATATATAATATCAAGGTATACTATCTTTTGATTTTACTCAAGATACGATAGAAGATAGGTATGATAAAGTATTTGCATAAATTAGAGGTTAGAGAATTAGGGGTTGGAGTTCACCTATTAGAGGTTAGGGTATAGTATCATGCCCCCAAAAACTCTGGAATCTAAATACTAAAACTCAATGGTCTTATGGTAGTGTGAACGCAAGAGTATAGCGTACTCTAGGCGCACGCTAGTTTGAACTATATATATACATATGTGTGTGGTTCATGTTGGCATACGCTAAATATTAGTGCTTTGGTTGATAAATTTTGACATAAGTTCTAAATGGGACGTGACAGCGACATAATTTATGATTAGAAAACCAAAACATCAGAAGTGAATGTACTGAATATTGGAAATTTTCAATATATACATACTACAAACTCTTTTATGAATCAAGAACACAAAAAATATGTAGAAGATAAAAAATTATTTAAACATATAAATAAGTTAATTAATATAAATTATGAATAAATCTCTCCGGCCAACGAACCGGGTAAAAAGCTAGTAAAAGTAAGGGGCAATAGTGTTTTTTCTCACAAAAACTAATATAACTTGTTAAATAATAAATACTAAAAGCATTATAAAAAAAATGCAAAGTACATTACCTCATTTTTCTTTATTACATGTATATTAAAATGAATTGGTTTAAGACTTTAAGTATCACCAAAATCACATAGCCCCTAATCCAAAAGGTCGTCGGATTCTTCACCACATTCGAGCTGGTTTTCATCATTATCACCACAACTACATTCACCACCACAACCTCTACATTATTACTAGTTCGATTCGAATTCCAATTCCTTTTGTGAAGGGAAAAACAGAACCAGAAAAGGAAGTCTCGTTGGCAAGAAGATAAGAGCCGTAGTACTGTTACCAGCGAGGGAAAAGGGAGACGACGGCAGATGGGTTTTTTGAGGTTATGTAATGTACACATAATTGCTTCCCAATCAATGCCCAGTTGCCCAATCAATGAACCCCCCAGCAATTTCCCTTCTCTTTTTCTTTTTTGTTTTTGTTTTTGTTTTTGTTTTCATTCACTGGAAAAATGGAATCGGATGGCGGGGGATTCCACAGGGACGTGTTCTCCCGACACGTGTCCCGACACGTCAGACCGCGCCAAGGCCGAGGGAGTTACCACGAGAGCGCGTGACGGAGAGCGAAAGTCCTTGCCAGCTGGCATCACTGTGTGTAAGTAACAATTGCCTACTGCCTGCCTGGCCGACCTTATCCTCTTTCCTTTTCCGCCTTTTTTTTTAATTATGAATATCTTTTTAATTTGGAATTTTCCCCCACAAATTAATAAAAAGAAACGAGAAAAAGGATGTTAAAAGAAAATTTGTACAGGTACAGATAGATAGAGAGAAAAGAAAGGAAAAGATTATGTAAAATGCAGGGAGGAGCCCTTTGAAAGATTGTAGAGAGGAGACTGGAGAGGACCAACCCAAACCCTAGATTTCTTTCTTTCCTACCTTCCTTGCCAAAACAAAATTCCTTCCCCAAAACCCCTCACACAGTCTTTCCTTCTCCTTCCCAATTTCTTTGATTCTTCGAATCCCATTACAAACATTCACAATCTCGAACGAACCCGAGGTTAGTTGTTTTTTTGTGTGTAAGATGGTTCTTTCCATCTCCAATTTGTTTGCTTTTCCGTCGATTTTATCTCTTGTTTTCTCTCCCGATTACTACTATCCGTCTCTGCCTACTTAAAACCTTTGGATTCGTCACTACCGAAGCTCCCAATCTGTATGCTATCTAGTTTTGTCCTCGTCTCTGTTTTTTTTTTTTAACACAGTCTAATCATTCGTTTTTTTGCTATATTTGGATCTCATCCACCTTTCTACTAGTTTTACTGATACCCTCTTTTCATTGGGTTTTAGGGTTGTCTTCTCCGGGATTGATCCTTATCTCCTTTCGAGGGGTGCCCATTGCGCAGATCCTGCTAAGTTTCCCATCTTTGTGCTGATATCAATCGTGGGCTGGGTTGGGGTTTTGTTGAAATCTTGGGGGGGGGGGGGGGGGGGGGGGGGGGGTTGCAATATCTGTTCCCTGGTAGCTGTAAGTAGTTGAAAAAGGGTGTCAAGATGATGTCCAAATCGTATACCAATCTCTTGGATCTAGCTTCCGGCAACTTCCCCATAATGAGTCAACCACGGGAGAAGAAGAGGCTGCCTCGGGTTATGACTGTTCCCGGGGTCATCTCCGAGCTTGATGATGATCAGGCTAACAGCGTCGCATCGGACGTGCAGTCTTCGTTAATCCAGGACCGGATAATAATCGTGGCGAATCAGCTGCCGGTGAAGGCCAAGCGGAGGCCGGATAATAAAGGTTGGAGTTTTAGCTGGGATGATGATTCTTTATTGTTACAGTGTAAAGATGGTTTCCATGAAGATATGGAAGTTATATATGTTGGTTCTTTAAGGGTTGAAGTTGATCCCAACGAGCAAGACGACGTGTCCCAGCTTTTATTGGACAAGTTTAATTGTGTTCCTGCGTTTCTGCCACCTGATATCTTGACCAAGTTCTATCATGGGTTCTGTAAGCAGCATTTGTGGCCGCTTTTCCATTACATGCTTCCCTTCTCTGCCAGTCATGGCGGGCGATTCGATAGATCCTTGTGGGAGGCGTACGTTGCGGCGAATAAAATCTTTTCCCAGAGGGTAATTGAGGTTATAAATCCGGAGGATGATTATGTCTGGATTCATGACTACCATTTGATGGTGCTACCAACCTTCTTGAGGAGAAGGTTCAACAGATTGAGAATGGGTTTCTTTCTTCATAGTCCATTCCCATCGTCGGAGATATACAGAACGTTGCCTGTGAGGGAAGAGATTCTAAAGGCACTTCTGAATTCTGACCTCATTGGATTTCATACATTTGATTATGCTCGTCATTTTCTGTCTTGCTGTAGTCGCATGTTGGGCTTGGAGTATCAGTCCAAACGAGGTTATATCGGATTGGAATACTATGGTAGGACAATTGGAATCAAGATCATGCCAGTTGGCATCCACATGGGACAGATTGAGACAGTATTGATGCATGCTGATAATGAGTGGAGAGTCAAAGAGCTGAAACAGCAGTTTGAAGGAAAGACTGTTTTACTCGGTGTTGATGATATGGACATCTTCAAAGGTCTCAACTTGAAGCTTCTGGCAATGGAGGCGATGCTGAAACAGCACCCAAAGTGGCAAGGAAGGGCAGTTCTGGTCCAGATTGCTAATCCTGCCAGGGGAAGAGGGAAAGACCTCGAAGAAGTGCAGGCGGAGATTGAAGAAAGCTGCAAGAGGATTAATGAGACTTTCGGCAGACCAGGCTATGAACCGGTTGTGTTCATCGATAGACCGGTATCCCTTAGTGAAAGGACAGCATACTACAATGTTGCTGAGTGTGTGGTGGTGGCAGCTGTCAGAGATGGGATGAATCTTACTCCTTATGAGTATATTGTGTGTAGGCAGGGCGTCTCTGATTCAAGTTCTAGTTCAGACTCCAGTGTCCCCAAGAAGAGCATGCTAGTTGTTTCGGAGTTCATTGGGTGTTCCCCTTCACTTAGTGGTGCTATTCGGGTCAATCCATGGAACATTGAATCGACAGCCGAGGCTATGAATGAGGCTATTTCTATGTCTGACAATGAAAAGCAGTTGCGGCACGAGAAGCACTATAGATATGTCAGTTCGCATGATGTGGCATACTGGTCGAGAAGCTTTTTCCAAGATCTGGAGAGGGCATGCAAAGACCACTTCAGAAGGCGTTGTTGGGGCATTGGGTTGAGCTTTGGCTTCAGAGTTGTCGCGCTGGATCCTAATTTCCGAAAGCTGTCAATTGATGCAATTGTAAGTGCATATTTGAGGTCCAAAAAGAGGGCCATCTTGCTTGATTATGATGGAACAGTAATGCCTCAAACATCTATCAATAAGTCGCCCAGTCAAGAAGTTCTTTCAATTATCAATACCCTCAGCAGTGATGCAAAGAACACAGTTTTTCTTGTTAGCGGAAGAGGGAGGGATAGTTTAGGCCAGTGGTTCTCTCCTTGCAAGAAACTTGGAATTGCTGCCGAACATGGTTACTACTTGAGGTAAGTAGTGTGGCACTCGAGCCTTTGATGATTGTTTAATCTTTTGAACTTGGTTCCCGTTTCTGAATGTTTCATGCTGTGACAGGTGGTCTGCTGATAAGGACTGGGAAATCTGTGGGCAAAACTGTGATTTTGGATGGTTTCAGATAGCTGAGCCCGTAATGAAGTTGTATACAGAATCAACAGATGGTTCTTACATTGAGACTAAGGAGAGTGCCTTGGTCTGGCACCATAGAGATGCCGATCCAGGTTTTGGTGCAAGCCAGGCTAAGGAGATGTTGGACCATCTTGAAAGTGTGCTTGCAAATGAACCCGTAACTGTTAAAAGTGGCCAATATATTGTGGAAGTAAAGCCTCAGGTGAGCATCTCTCCTCGCTCTCATATCATATGATTGTTCTTTGATTTCCAGGCAAATTCCAAATCTGATACATTTTGCTATTTACTATCTGAGGCATAGGTGAACCATGCCAAGTTTCTCTAGCTATTATTTTCAAATTGAAGTCATATTCTATTAGGCAGGAACCTAATTGATGTCTGAATTGCTGTTCCCTGCTGGTTCATTTGATTTAACCAATTGAATGCCAATTGGAGAACCTGTCAATTGGTAGAAGTGGAGTGTGTGATTTTTTTTAGAATAAGTGAATGATTGTCAAATTATTAGGTGATCCTACAGGTTTTAGAATATAGATGGAATTCTAGAGACATCTTCGTCCTTGAATGCCTAAAGGACCCCATAAACAGTCGTAATAATTTTGTTAAAGAGGGGTAGAATGCAAAAGTGAAGTAGGTTTAACATGTTAAACTCGGAATTTAAAGGTAGAAGTCAAAAGTTGGAATGTATTTGATTAAAGTTGGTCAGCGCCCACTGCTGAAGGTAAATGGGTTTATATGGTTGGAAGATAACAAATTTGTAGGACATGCTTATGTTATTTGAACTGGTTACTAGCTGCCGTGTTATTAGATGCTAATAGTGCTTCTTAGTATCCTCTTCCGTGATTGATTATGATTACACTTACAGCATGTGCAAGGGTAATGGCTGATCTCTTAGAACTCTAGTATAAATCTTTCCGGGTATTAGATGCTAATATTTTTCCTTCGTATCCTCTTCGGTGATGGATGATCATTACCCTTGCAGCACGAGCACTCGAGCAGGGCTAATGGTTGATCTATTAGGACTCGTAGTATATCCAGCATTTTTTTATGCAAGTTCTGATCTTTGGTTTATCTTATCTTATTCAGGGGGTTAGCAAAGGTGTAGTAGCAGAGAAGATATTTACATCAATGGCCGAGAAGGGAAGACTGGCCGATTTTGTGTTGTGCATTGGTGACGACAGGTCTGATGAAGACATGTTTGAGAGGATCGATAATGCCTCGACAAGCGGAGTACTCTCATCGAGCACTTATGTATTTGCATGCACAGTGGGCCAGAAACCAAGCAAAGCCAAGTATTATTTGGATGACACAAGTGATGTTTTGCACATGCTCAGAGCTCTTGCTGAAGATTCAGACCCTTTATATGATGAAGAAGAAGATGAAGATAGCAGCAAATCACCCTAACGTCCTATCCATTTCTTCCTCGGCTTTTTCCTGTGGGTCATTTGTTGGTCGAATTCATCAAGAATACACCATAGCAAAGGCCTGGGCTCCAGTTAGTTGAACAAAGAGACATGGTTTGTTAGTGGCCCCATTGCCATGGTTGAGGCACGGGACGGGGCCCAGTGAAAGCCTGTTGACTTGGCAAAGGAAGGGGGAAAGATGGCTGTTAAGAATGAAACAGTGAAGTGGTTGATCTGGAAACGAATGTTTGGTTTTGTTAAGCTGGTGTTGGTTGGATGGATGCATTGGGGAAGAGGGATGGGATCTCATCTTATTAACAGAAAATTGAAAGGTTATTGCTTTGACGGAAGAGGATGGATGGATGGATGGCAGGAAGTAGAGCATTACAGACTTACAGTACTGTGGCAGTGAGTATGATACGACGGAAAAGAAAGGTGGGTCTGTGCTGTAGTTTGAATGTTCCCACCATTGTTAACGGAGACAGCAATGGTGGTGTTCTTAAATACTTTTCCTTTTCGCTCAGTCTACGGAAAGAGCAGCCGAGTGAGTGATTTATTTCTATTCCCCGCGTTTACCGTCAACTATTGTTTTGGTAAAATTCAATTGCCCCGTCAAATGTGTAAATGTTATAGTGAAAACTGGCAATGAGTTTATTGTATTCTCTGCGTAAAGGTTGATTCTTTGGGATGATCGGCTAGTAACGTTCGAGTTCAACAGGTTGCAGTGTGACTCCAATTCCCAACTCCAATTGGTTTTATCAGAAATGTGAAAATTGAGGTTTGTTTTATCTTGCATATTCTAATAAGAGTTGTGGGCAAATCTTAAGTGCTTGAATTTGGTAGACAAAAATCTGCCTATCCTAATTGAATAGGGTATCAAAGTCAAACTGGTGCTTGTTGCATCAGGAGGCATTATGGTGTGTGCTAAAGCATGGGTGATATAACTGAAGCTTCATAGCTGATTCTTTTTCACTTCACAAGTCCAAGAATTCAGTTGCTATACCCGTCTTTCCAAACCCTATCCGTAGTCGAAGCAGATCACATCAGTAGTTTTTCCCCTGCTATTGCTGATGTTGAGTTTCAATTGACTCGATCGAATGGATTAGGGGGAGTCGCTAGTTTCGTCATTGCATGGACTAAGGAGATCTAAACCTTCGAGCTCATATATGATAAATTCCATCCATTTTTTGGACTAACATATAATAAACCTATCAACCGAGTACCTCTGATGGTGCTTTTCTTACGGAAGAGGTTTTTAAAATTCCTTTCTAATTCACACGAGATTCCACAAGCCCTATACTACTCGATTCAGAGTATAAGCTAATGATGCTTTTGGCTACTGCGCGACATCTAGGGTGCAACCAAGTTTAAATACATATCTCATGGCACCATTGGTTTGCTCTTGTAGTAGGGTTAATATATTTGTATGGCCTGAAAACCAAAATAAACATCCTGACCAATTTTTTCGATCTATAGCATTCTGGCCAAACTATACATCAAAATAACTAAATTGGCCAAACCCGACGTTTGACCGTTAACTTGGACGGTCAAACGTGTTGACTAACGTTCAACGCGCCACATCATTGCCCAGTCAACACTGAACACTTTAAAAAATTGATTTTTTCTACCTATTACCATTTATATCTTTTATTTTTTTTCTTTTTATATTTATTTTTAACTTAATTAAAATAATGAGATTATGTGTCTTTTTTGAATTTTTCAACATTTTTTATGTTGACTGGGCGGTGATGTGGTGCGTTGACCGTTAGTCAACACATTTGACCATTAAGTTAACAGTCAAACGTCGGGTTTGGCCAATTTAGTTATTTTGATGTATAGTTCGGGCCAGTATGTTATAGATCGAAAAGATTTGACCATAATGTTTATTTTGATGAAAGTTCAGGCCATACAAATATATAACCTTGTAGTAACCCTTCTCATTGGCAGGGTGAATCTCCATAGGCAAACGATGTGTGCTCTGCCTAATGTATGGGCTACCACTATGGACGGTAAGGCAGATGGGCCTTTGAGCTATCGACTATAAAGTATAAAGAACGCAACGCAGACGTTTCAGGCCCAGTAGTCTGTGCCGTATACCGAAGAGCAGCGTAATGGCAAAGGGCCTTCCTCTGAAACCACAATGGGATTTCGGAATATGTTAAATAGGGTTTTGGCCCTGGGCTTTATTTGAACACGTTTCTGGGTAATGGTTTGTTCATTTGCAACTTTACACGTTTCCATATTTATCTATTTATATTTAGTATTGGGTGGCGATGCTGCGTCTTGTCGCGGGACGAAGATGGCCTATTAGCATGTATTATGTGGTCCGTTATGGTGTTTTATTAGTATTATTTGTCTAAAATTAATTTTTTGTTAGCAGTTTTGTTTGTACTATTGGCTGAAAAGAGATATATTGCGGTCAATATCCAATTTAAATTTTTTGAAAATTTTGGTTAATAAATAATATTTACCTAAATCCAAGTAGTCCCATTGATTTTGGGTAGGGTATGAGTGACGTATATATGAGTTTGGAAGTTTGTATATGTGTTTGGGTATGGTATGGATATTCACTTTCATAATCTAAATGTGTATGAGTTGGGTATGAATACCAATTTATTCGAGTGTATTTTAATCGCACATACAAAAATTAGATCTATTTGTAGATCTTCAAAAGTTCAGGTACTAAAATGTAATACAAAAAAATTTTAGGTACTAAAATATAATGTTCCATCAATATTCTGAGGACTTATATGCCAAAAAAAATAATATTAGGTTATAAATCTAAAGATCTATTAAGTTTATGTACCCAACTGGAATTTGCATAGTTGAGGCTTAATTTCTTGTATGGTGATGTATTTAAGATAATAATTATTTACTTTTTTATAGAAAATAGGAAACTATTTATTTGATATTTATAATTGTTAAAAATTCCATGTATAATTGTTGAAAATTCTAGACCGGGAGAAAAAGAAAAACTCTTTTGAGAAGCAAAAGGAATACAAAATAGAACTCACTTAAAATTTCACGCCTTCAAATGTCATAGTGGAAAATGACAACTTTCTAATAAGTAATAATCATATATATATATATATATATATATATATATATATATATATTTGTTTTTAATTGGACTCGACATTGAGTAGAAAAAGTTAGTGATTCATTGTTCAATTATTAATTCTTCATACTTGTTATTAAAATATATACAAATAGTATACTAATTAGGATTAGACGAAGAAGGCAAAGAAAGAAATAAAGAAAGGGTTATGGAAGGCGAGTGAAAAATGAAATAAAGAGGAAGTAGATGATGGAAATGTTTTGATCAATTCTTTTAGTTGGCCGTCAATACAACATTCAACCTTTTTCAACGTAGCAATTTATTGACACTTGCTTATGTAGATGTCAAATATTTTGTTACATGTAGTTAGTAGAAGTTTGTTTAGTACCTCGTAAATGTACTAAATGAGTTTATAAATTCGCTCTTGCAATATTTTAGACTCGTCTCTCTATTATCATTTTTGAATGTTTCACGTAATGAACAAATATAAAATGGTCGAATCTTTTCCTACAGTTGAGTGATGCAACATCTTGTATGGTACAAACTAAATTTATACTTTTATGTTACGGTGGAGTTGATTCATGAATTGGTTCAAAATGATTGGTGGATTGGATTCATAGATTTAAGTGAAATCTAAACATTGAATCAATATGTAAATGTAAAAAATTATAGGTACGAAAATCTCATAAAATTATGATACCAAAACATAATTGTTCAATGATTTTACATTAAAATTAAATTTAGGATATCAAAATATAAAATGTATATTATAGTAACTAAGTTGTAATTTAATTAATTTTGGGTATCAAAATGTAATAATTTAGGCAACAGTAACTTCACTTCAATTATATATGGGACAGGTTAGTATGACAACACCCCTTGTGTTGTTATAGTGACAACACTAGTCTTCCACCAATAGGAAGGTAGAGATGTGATGACTTTTTATTAGTTGAGTTGACCTAGTGTAAAATCAAAACAGGGGTATAATTGTCATTATGAAAATATGTTTAAATATTTTTTTATTTTCTGCCCTAAAATTTGGTCGCCGGAATTCTGCCACCCGTCGTCGGAAACTGATCGTCGGTCACCGGAATATGCTTTTTGTCGCCGGAATATGCTTACCGGCGTTGGAATCTAGTCATCGGGGCCGCAATATGCCTATCGGCGTCGGAATCTGCTCACTGACGGTCACTGGAGTTCGGTCAACGGTCAATGACCACCGCATCTTATGGTTAGCATTGTGAGATTTATGGTTTGGTTTCTCATATTTTTTTATGCCTTTTGTGGTTTGCTTTATCGCGTTTATGGTTTGCATTGAGAAGTTTCTGGTTTGCTTTCAAAAACTTTGTGGTTTGCATTGTGAGGTTTCTGGTTTGATTTAATATATTTGTGGTCTGCATTAGGACGTTTATGGTTTGCTTTTTTGTGGTTTGATTTACTGTGTTTGTGATTTGCATTAGGAGGTTTCTGGTGTGCTTTCGCAAATGTTGTGGTTTGCTTTGTGAGGTTTGTGGTTTGTTATAGGAGATTTGTGGTATGAATTAGGAGGTTTCTAGTTTGCATTAAGAAGTTTCTAGTGTGCTTTCGAAACTCTTGTGGTTTGCTTTGCGAGATTTCTGGTTTGTTTTAATATATTTGTGGTCTGCATTAGGATGTTTTTGGTTTGCTTTACCGTGTTTGTGGTTTGCATTAGGGGGTTTCTGGTGTGCTTTTCAAAATATTTATGGTTTGCTTTGTGGGGTTTCTGATATGTTTTAGCGAATTTGTGGTTTGCATTAGGAGGTTTCTGGTTTGCATTAAGAAGTTTCTGGTGTGCTTTCGAAACTTTTGTGGTTTGCTTTGCGGGGTTTCTGGTTTGATTTATTGTGTGTGTGGTTTCTATTAGGAGGTTTCTGGCGTTATTTAGAAATATTTGTGGTTTGTGTTTCCTTGAAATGTTTTCTGTACACCAAGCTTTCCGAACAATCAAATCTTTCGTTCGTCAACATCCATTGCAACAAAAGCCTCGGCTTTCTCCTCATCTTCCAACTCTCCATAGGCATCCAAAAACACGACATCGTTCATTCCTAGTATTTCATGCAGAGCATCAACTATCGCCTCAGAGCTCCGCGTCCACCATGAGCGAGCGAGCGAGTGTGCTAATCGAAAACTCAACTCCACTACGAATAACATTCCGTTGCAGACAATCAGTATCTTCGTACCTTAGACGGGCTCCTTCAGTGCCGAGAGGAGAAGTGGAAGAAAGTGAGGTATCAAGCATGGAGAGAAAAGACAAACGGATCTTCTGGATCAGTAGACGATAGCGAAAGATGATTGGAGAATTGTACAGTGGCTGGGACGGCAGGAAAATGGCGCCTGGCGCTGGGAGAAAGAAGATTTTGGAGAATCGTACAGTTTCCGCTACCGTAACGGCCTCATCCCCGAACACTCTGTTCCACCCATTTTCTTCGATCGAGTCTTTATTCCCCTCGCCGGCACAATCATCGTCGATTCCGAACCCTCAGCAGATCTGATGATGATAGCGCCTTTGAAATCGATGGATTGGCGTCGTCGTTGACGCCGGAAGGAGGAGAAACCACTTGGATGGAGCCTGGAGGGGATTGAGGGATGGCGGAGGAGGATTGCTTGCTCGAACGTTCGGATCGGCACCGACGGCGATGAAGTCACAATGGTGAGGGATGGAAGAAAGCAGATGCGAGTGGGAAGGAACGAAGGAGAAGAAGGGTTTCAGATGATTAATGTAAACTTAATTTGTTATTTATTGTCAGTTTACAATTTTGCCCTTAATGAATTCTGTTGTTACTATAACAACACTATGGGTGTTGTTATAGTACCCGGAGCCATTATATATATAAACTAGATTCATATTGCGCTTTGCAGCGAGCTAGTCAACCATTGTGTTGTTATGGTTGCTTGTTGAGATTTGACTTTTCTTACGGTGATATAATAACAATGGTAGTTTCTTTTTTATAGAAAATGGTAATTGTTTCTTGACAATTCTTTATTTTATATGCATACACATACCCAAACATTTCACATACAATTAACAAAAAATCTTGCACAAATAGTAATTAAAAGTTCTAGAGAAAGAAACAAAGGGAATACAAAGTGGAACTCGACTAAAAATTCCATACCTAATCTCGGGAAGAAAACAATGATCATCTAATAAGAAAAAAACTATTTGTTTTAATTAAACTGAACATTTTGTTAGAAAATTTATTGGTTCATGATTCGATTGTTGATCTTTATAGATTCGTTGGCGAGTATCTTATGGAACCATATATTAGGATACGTATAACTATTATACTAATTAGGGTGGAAATAAAGAAAGGGAGATGAATGGCGATGGAAGAATGAGACGAAGAAGTAGGAATAAATGGTGTCAATAAACTTTTCATGTTCTGCCTCCCATAATGTTTTTGATGGTTGAGTTTGTTTTGGCAACAACATTATACCACCGAACAATTTAAATCAAAGCCACTCTTGTCATTCAACGACCAATTGAAAACAACCGGTGAGTCCATAGATAATGGAATCAATCCAAGATCCAATTTGATCTTGTAAGCGGTTCACAATTTTATTGATTGGGTTCAGTTTTTAATTAAATGTTGATAAAGAACCTATACTTTTTTTAATTGAACTGGACATTAAGCTAGAAAAGTTAGTGGTTCATGATTCAATTATTAATTGTCATAAACCTGTTGGTGTGTCGTTTATGGAATGATTCATATTTGTAAATTATTATATATATAAATATTATACTAAATAGTGTTAGATAAAAAAGCTTGTGGAATAAAGTAACGGAGATGGAGGGATATGAAAGAATGAAACAAAAGATGAAGTATGGAAGACATTATGGTAATTAATAAGCCTGTTTAAGTTTGATATAATATTTTTTAATGGTTAAGTCTATTTGGGAAACAACATTAAACCAGTAAACTATTTAGATGACTCAAGATAGGGTGCATAACCATGGGTTATGCACTCATCAATAACCAAATCTGGACCCTTTATTTAGAAAATTCAGACTTAAGGAATGAGAATTAAAGACCATTTTTATTTTTTCTAGCTTTCTTAATTGACTCATATATTTTTCGTTTTAACTCGAATTTTAATTTTTTTGCACAGATGGAACGAGTTCATCGTGCTCTACAAAATGAGATCAATTTTCAATATTTTTTGAGGAAAAAAATTCTGGCCTCTCGGTACCCCAACTGCATACCATATGGTATATTCTTCATTTTTAATTCGTTTTTTAAAAAGTTAGCACAGAAGGGACGTGTTCATCATGATCTATTGGATCTGCAAATTTCTGGGTGAACAAATTACAGGACCAAAAAATACCACACAATACCATACAATACCACCCTGGTACGGGGTGGTATTGTATGGTATCTTCTTCGTTTTTAATTCATTTTTGAAAACGTTTGCACAGAAGAGACGAGTTCATCATGATCTATTGGATCTACAAATTTATGGGTGAACAAATTACAGGACCAAAAAATACCACACAATACCATACAATACCACCCTGGTACGGGGTGGTATTGTGTGGTATACAATGTTAAAAGTCGTAAATGACAATTAATATACTTCTACTATCATGTATTCAACCATCCTACAGTCTTGGTTTGTTCATACCACCATGGTACGTTTTTCAAACCATAGGTATGCTTTTATTTCAATACCCGTCAATACCAATGGTATAGACTAGTAAAAAATGGCTCAATTTTTTTTGTTCGAAAAATATATTAAAGTGAATATAATTTTGAAGAGCACAATTAATCTGATCTAACTGCGCAAAAAATTAAATTTCGACTTAAAATGAGTGAGAAATCGTCCGTCAAAGATTAAAGAGGGAAAAATTAAAGACTTTCTAGGAGAGTGAGGATGCTGATGTCATGCTGATGGACGGGTTACTCATAGTTACTCACCATAAAGTTACTGACCTGATCCATTCCCCATTTAGATTGAAGTGAGTTTTGTTGTTTAACGTCCAGTTGTAAATAACCGACCGGTCCACATATGACCGAACTAATCCAAGAACCGATTTTATATTTTTATTGGTTCACAATTTTACTAATCAAGCTCGATTTTAATTACAAATTCCATTGATTCTTTTTTATATTGTTGTCTGATGATCATTTACGACTGCTTAAGTGGCTAGCTCTATCCTTCTTTCCTCCTTTGTGTGATGTAGGCGTTAATTGTTTAAGGAAAACAAATAAACAAATAATAAAAATCTTAGGCAATAGTAACGGTGCTTTAGGTTTACATATAGTAATTATTGGTTCACAATTTTACTAATCAAGCTCGATTTTAATTACAAATTCCATTGATTCTTTTATATATTGTTGATGTCTTGATGATCATTTACGACTACTTAAGTGGCTAGCTCTATCCTTCTTTCCCCCTTTGCGTGATGTAGGCAGTAATTGTTTAAGGAAAACAAATAAACAAATAATAAAAATCTTAGGCAATAGTAACGGTGCTTTAGGTTTACATATAGTAATTACTAGTGTTGTATCCGGCCCGTTGGCCGGTTTGTGGTCATTTGGGTATTTTTTTAGTTAAACGTAGGTGGTTCGATTTTTAGTATTGTGCACTGGTGGTACAAAAGAGTACTTTGATAGTTTATGTTTTTTAGTTCCCGTTAACTTTATAATTTTATTGAATTTGTATTTCATTTTATACTTAACTATAAGAAGTTTAAGTTAGACAAAGAATGAAATGAAAAACTATCTGGAATCTATATTCATGCCTAGAGATATTAAACATCACTGAATAAAAAAAAATCAACAAAATTTTTTTATCTTCGTTATATGTGAATAATTACCTTGCAAATGAAGCTTTGAAAAATTTATTACTATTTTAATTTAAATATAGTTGATTTTCATCTATTGAATTAAAAAAGTAAATAATGTACATAATATTACTATAGATGTATTACATTTAAATAGTTTAAAGATACAAAAATTGGAGGAGAAAAAAATGTGATATGGAAATAGATTATTTGGACAATTATGTAAAGTAAATCCAAAAATATTAGTATAGATGTATTAAATTTATATTTTTGAAAGAGACAAAAATGAAAAATATTAGCAAAAGAATATTTTGACTTGAAATGACCCTTTTAAGTTATTCAATCATTTGAACTTTAGTTATCATAATTCAAAAGCGGAGCGGATGAAAAATTTCAATGACTCATGATTAATGGTTTATCATTATACAACTATTTTTTAATCGTTAATGGAACTATTCAGATGTAATCATGTAAATAACAACGTAGTTAGGTTTAAGAAGCATTTACGTTATTCCATTGGACCATATTTTACGTTTAATAATTTTCTAATAAAAACTATCTCGATTTTAACCAATTACATAGAGTAAAAAAATTGATTTTTTTGTTTGATCTAATTCGACAAAAATATCGAGTCGGTACAATATGGATCGAATTATTGTTTAACCTACGACTAAACATGCGATCTTACCTTTCAAAGTTTAATGTAAAAATTAGACATGCTAATTTGAAAATTAAAAGAATTTAAAACAACATAAATTGATTGTATTTTGCCAAGATTTCCCGTCTTTCTTCCTCTTCATGTTTGCCGAAATCACTGTGTAAGATTCTAAAAAATTTGAAGGTTGATGCTTGGTTTATCTGTTTAACGTAAAACCCTAATGCGAAAAAACCTATTCGAAGGAACCGCTTCCCAATCATTCACGAAACAACGATATATCATCTTTATCATCTCAAAATCCAATTCGCAAGCATTATCTCATTTAGGTAGCCTCTGTTTTTCCTTAACCACACAAAATAAATCTACACAGAGCAAAATTCAAATAATTATTATGTAGCATTTACCTTAAAACAAATCTTCTTTTTCCTTAATCCTAATCGCATTTACTAAAAAGAAAACCAAAAGTCCAATAATAATGAGTAACCCTTGAGTGTTTGAAAAATTGTCAAAGTTGCCCTTCCACCAAATAAGGAGAACCAATCAAAGTGCAAGGTGGCAACAATGACATAGAGTGAAGTGCATAATATATTGTGTAGATGTAGATTGGTTCATGTTGGGGGTACTACGAGTGAGGCCCAACGAGTAGTGGTCTGGGCCTCCAAGCAAGAGAATTGGGGGGCAAGGCCCGTCAATGGATTTGTGAAGCATCTC